CTTTCGCTTTGAAGGGGAAAGGTTTATTATACTAATTTTAAATAAATGATAAATGCAAAGTTTGATATGGTAATAATTGATTTTATTGAAGGGTAACGTAGATTTCTTCCTCAATAGAGAATAATAATAATATTGAAGTACGTAAAATTTATGTATGGTTCGGGAATGAGATCACGATCGGGCCGACGTCTAAATCGTGATTTAAAATACAGAAGTTAAAGCTAAGGGATTAGGATAATACTACCTATACTTTATTACGGCTGGGACGATACATTGTGCGGTAGAGTGTCTACGTACAACAGACGGTGCGGTTAGTGGGGAGATGGGTGGCAGGCGGTACAATTTTCAACGACGGTGACGGTGACTGCGACGACGGCGGCGAGTTCGACTGGTGTAGCAGCGGCGGGGTAGGGCAACTTGGCTCAACCTCGTACTCCTCCTCCTGTGTTTTTGCAAAAAACATAGTTTCCCGGTATCTAAAGAAAAACTGTAGTGGCGAATTTTTTCTTCGTGTTATATATTATAGCCACTTACGAGTTCTAACTACTGACAAATTTTCAACTTGTAGGTCTTAAAGTTACGGCTTAAAACCCCAAAAAACAAAAAAAAATTACCCCTCCTTGTGGGGGGGGGGGGATGGGTATAAATGAAATTTGACACGACAGACGTGTTTGAGCAAACATAATAAATATTTCTAGTAAATTTCAACTCAATCCGACACTTTTTCTCGAAATTATAGCCAGCAAAGTTTAAAAACTCGTATGGTTTTTTTTGTTTTTCAAATTTTATTTGCGAAGAAGTAAACTTTTTCAACTTTTACTTCGACCTTTTGACTTTTTTGAATGGGCCGCTCCCCCTCCCCAAGTACCAACTAGATGAAATATGTTATTTATAGAGTTGCTACTCGAAGGAATTGGTGCAAAACCAATACCTTCGCTGCTCTGCTTCGAAGCTAATTATACAATTATAAAGCATGTAACATGCTTAAGCCTACTGGCTCTTGAGTTATGATTATTTCCTATGTATAATCTCCTTGCGATACATTTTGTATTGATAGTATAGTTTAAATTTTATGTTGTCGCCAAATGTTTTTTAGTAGTTTTTTAATATTTGTCGTAATGGGATTATTGACAACATTCACCCGGTCAGTTATTTTGAATAAATTTAATCATTAATTTAATTGTGCTCCTTGTGAAATTAAGTGCATTTATTAGGATGAATATTTGGTTGCACATTTAAAAAAAAATATCAATATATTGTGGATTTGTACCTTTCATAGTTAACTTAAAACAATTTGAATGTATATCATTTTATTTATTTCAGAGCTTCGGACTGAACAGTAAACAATTAGAACCATTGCAAGAACTGTATAAACCTTACAAAATGACTAGCATGAAAGTTAATGAGCAGAAAACTAGACAAGTTGTGGAAAATATTTTTGGAATGGAATGGGAAAATCCTAGAAACAAGTTTGAATTCGATTCAAGTAACATATTGATAAACAATCATATTACCTATTTTTCGGACAATTTAAGTCAACTGTTATGGTCTTAACACTCGATAAATTAATATTTGTTGAACCTAATGGCTAATACCAGATGACTCTTCTAATGCCCTACACTAGGTTACTCTTTAAATAATAGAAATTTTGTAGCGTTAACTTTTAAGAACATTTTTTTTTTTTTTTTAGCACAATGTTAGAAAACATTCAAATTTTTACCTTTTATAGTATTTGCTGTGGTTTAGCAGCTTTTGAAACTTAAATATTAACATATATACTTAAATCAATTTTTGAGTTAAAAATATTTACTGATAATTTTGACTAGTTCATAACCACTTTTGAATAATTATTTTTATAGTTATTTAAGTTTAAAATGATTGAAGGGTGACATTTCGAAAGATACTATTCCACTTTATCTTCTTTGCGAAACTTATTAGAAAGTTATAGCAAAAATCTGAAGTTTTCCAAAAAAAATTAAATTATCCACTTTACAAGCCGATACGTAGCATCATGGATATGTCTTTTTCTACACATTGTCTTGTCAATATACTACATTAAAAAATACACGTAAATGAGTAATTTTACATCAAAGTACCTTATTTGGAATACCTAATTAGAAATACCTAATATGGAGTACTCTATGGACAAAATCAAATTATGAACACAAACAGTATAATATTATTTTTAAATTTTGATGCGCAAATTACTTAAGGTAATATTTTGGATTTTAGCCTTAAATGTGCATAAATTAACATCTACCAAAATACAAAAGTCGAAATTTGAAAAAAGGCTTGGCTTAAAGGTATTTTTCTAGGAAAGGTATTACGTATTATATTTTAACAGCTTGCGTACGAGTCCGCAATACCACGGGATACATTTTTATGTCTCGTTCTGCGGAGCACCGTCCGGTCCGCTCCTTTTTTTCCGCCTCGATTCCCAAGCCTTGATACCATTAGAAATATTTTTTGTTGTTAACCCAAAATTAACACTTGGTTTGTGACAATGGTAACCACGGTACACGAATGGTAGGTGATGATGACCTCATCCTCAACCTCGTCCTCGATCTCATCCTCGAGCTCATCCTCAACCTTGACCTCTACCTTATCCTCGACCCCGACCTCATCCTTGACCTTATCCTTATCCACGACCTCAACCTCATCCCCATTCCCACCCTCATTATTAGAACTATCCCTGCCCCAACCCCATTCCCACCACCATCCCTCTTCTATAATCTCTTATCTCTTACCTCTCTTATCTTATCAGATGTGCATGTGCTCAACACAAGTCAAACACATATTCATTACAATAGTTGTAGTATATTATATTATAACTTTGACTATAAGTACAATTTTGGAAATTACTCCCTCTCTCCCATGAAAGCTATTATACTGCGTTACAATGCAGTGCAGTGACTGAATCACACCCATGACTGACCGCCTTCTAGAACTAAATATAGGTCACTGCCGTGACAGGAAGCTGCACTATATCTACCCTCAAAATATCCTTAGAAACACATTCCTTAATTATGTATACAACCGCCGAAGAGCAAAATGACAATCGTACCTTAAAATTAATTAAATAAACTCAAATTGTAACGACAAAATTATCTATTAAAAAGGCTTATAAATGCGGAGTACAGTTTAAATTAATATGAAAACTAATAATTTCAATAAGTTAGACATATATTATAATGGTTTTAGACCTGTTTCATAGGTCCATAGTAATTCGAAGGTGAGCAGGTGTAGTAGTAAGCTTATAGTGTGTCTGGCAATATTATTAGTTTCAACTGATTTAATTACAAAATGAATGACTTAATTAACAACTAAACAATTTGTATACAGATCAGCCCGATTCTATGAATTTATTTGGCTTATTGGGGATGGTGAACTATAATAAAATGAAACGTTCTGACAAAACCAAGGTATTTAAGCTCTCAAATTAACTAGTATAAACTCTAAATTAAATATATACCAACTATTGGCAAACATTAAAATTGTGATTTAATATGCGTTGGTCCCTGTGACTTTTTTTAATTATTCTTTTTCACACTATTTTTATACTTATAAAATAACTGAAATTTGATATAATTTTCAATCATTTAACCCCAATCATATGAATTCAAAATCTGTATACGGTTTTACTATACAAGATGATTTTTTAAAGATGAGATACTTTTTTTCTCTTAAAATAATTGCTGTTTTATGGTGAAAATTAACGCCTCATCTTTAATGATACACTCTGTGAACTAAAGGTAACTGATGTTAAAAATTGAGGTCGGGAGACGGAGTGCGGTTGAGAGATATTAAACTTTAATATATTTAAAAGTAATTGCTCAAAATCTGGTTTGATATGCTGTTTAATTAATTAATTACGTATATACGTTACCATTTTAAAATCTTAAGTTCATATGACTTGCACGTAAACGATGTTGTTTTTTATGGAAAATTGTATACACATTTGGTGAAATTAGGATAATTTTAAAAATTCCAAGATAATCGATGGGTCATTGCTGTTGTAAGCAATCTCTCTGTATTATTAAATTGTTTTCAGGTTAAAAAACTCACGTTTTTGGAAGTATGTTTTTACCTAAACGAGTTTGAGGGAAGCTTCAAATCACATGGTCAAAAGGGATATCTTAATCTTCAACAGCTATCAGAAGTATTCTATTATTGGAAAACTGTAAATGATGCATTAAACGAAAAAAAAAACAACTTGAAATCGAAAACGATGGTAATACAGATAAGCCGAGGTGGTGGTTTACATGATGCACAATATTTTTTTAACTTTTAATTCAATTTTAGTCGACTATGTAATGAACGCGGTGGAATTCTTGTTAACTATGATGGAAATCAAACCAAAAGTAAGCGCAATACGCCTACAAAATATAATAAAAAAGGAAAATAAATTCTCTAGATACATTAAATAGAAATTTCCTTGATAAGAAATTTAAAAAAATAAACAGTTACTATTATTTTTATTTCTTTTGAAATTATTTGTAATATATTAAAAGAACTTAACTAAACGAAAATAACTAATGCAAAAAAAAAATAAGTTAATATTTAAAATTAAAAAAAAACTATAAATCGTTAAAAAAAATGAATTAATTCAGTTTTTTTGAAACTGTATTGTAGCTTTGACAGTACAAATTTTTTTTTACAATGTTCTTTTTTTCGAGGAGCTAAGTTTTTGCATAGGTTTAATTAAAAATTGCCTTTACTAGACTCCTTAAAAATGGGCGTCAAACCACACTATTACACACATTACTTATTGAGGAGTAAAGTATAGGCTTTCTTTTCGAAATATTTTATTTAGAATACTAGTATATACTTTTTTTATATATGGACTTCACATGTTTTTTTACCAAACCATTTATTGCAATTCAAATACTGTGGTGTTTTAAGTGAACAAAAAGCCAATATTATTTCATCATTTATAAGATGAATAGTTCAATGATGTTTTGTTGGAATCTAATTTTTTTTTTTAAATAGTACTAAAAACCGAACGCTACAGCTTACTAAAATTGTCAACTTAACATGATTATCACAACTAAAGTATGACACTTGATAACTTAAAAAATAAAACATATTGTAGTAAACTTAAGAGTGCAAGTAAAACATAATTAGATATATGTAAGTAAATATCATTCGCAGACTTTTATTATAAAACACGAATTACAATAACTAATAGTTTTGCCGGAGTAGCTCTACGCGTATGGTGGACAAACTATCATCAAATTCATGCTAGACAGTTTGAATTTTCCATATTTTAGATTTAATTCAGTTTATTTTTATTTAATTTTAAAAAATGTGAATAGACTATTATCGATTTTTGGGACAATGCTTAAATTAATATTTTTTTCATACATTGTAGGGCCTTGGTCTTACCCTAGCACAAATAAAAATGTTTATTGATTTATACGATGCACACAAGACATCAGATGGCATAAATGCTGCAGCAAGTAGAAAAGTGTTCCAAACGCTTGGTATACAAATAGATGACGATTTGGAAAAGCTATTTAAATCCAAACGTAAGAATTATTTTTATATTGTACTAGGTATGATAAATAATTGGATAACTACTAATTATTAAAACTCACACAGGAACCGCTGAAATATTGTTGAAGGATTTAATCATCGTTGCGGCAGAACGCAATATGACCGTTCCGAAAAATGTAATTTTGTTCATAATTTTGTTTTTTATAACTTTCAAAGTTCAAAGCTATTATGTTTGTTATACATCTCCAGTGCCAATTAAAAATTATTAAACATTTCTACATTATCAATTTTTAGGAAAGAAGAGTAATTAGAGTGGTCGAGGTCATATTTGAAACTCTACATTTCAATAGAACTGATAAAAACGAAGACGGTCTACTATCTTCGAATGAGTATACTGACCTAAATGATAAGGTAATAGAAGTTTTGACATCAATAGAAGAGCCGCCAGAAGTTATAGAAAGAGCGCAGCATTATATGAATATTATATTCAAAGGTGAAGTTAATTTAAACAATGTTTAAATGTTATTAAAGACGATTTTTGGTCATCGTCTAACAAACAAAATTATTTTTTTTCTTTTTTAGGTAAAAAAGCCATAAACATCGCGGAGTATATTGAAGTTTGTTTGTTAACGATTGATTTAAATGGCCGCATTGACTCCGACGATGATAACTGATAACTCACAATAGTGTATAATATTAATTATTTTTATATTGTACTTGGTATGATAAGTAATTGAAGAACTACTAATTATTAAAACTCACACAGGACGCGCTGAAATATTGTTGATGGATTTAATCAGCGTCGCGGCAGAACGCAATATGACCGTTCCGATAAATGTAATTTCATTCATAATTTTTTTTCTTACTTTTTAAGATCAACGCTGTTATTTTTGTTATACTATCTCCGTAACCAATTAACAATTATTGTACATTTTTACATTAACAATTGTTTAGGAAAAAAGAGTATTAAGAGTAATCGACTTCATATATAACATTCGATGTTTCAATTTTTTGGATAATGACAAAGACGGTCTACTATCTTCGGATGAGGATTTATATAGGGACGTTTCAATACGTAATTTGAAATCATTGGAAGGGCCATCAGAAGTTTTCGATAGAGCGCAACATTATATAAATAATATATTCAAAGGTAATGTTAATTTAAACAATGTTTAATTGTTATTAAAGACGACTTTTGGTCATTGCCTAACAAACAAAATTAATTTTTCATTTTTAGGGAAAAAAGCCATAAACATCGCGGAGTATATGGAAGTTCGTTTAATGACGATTGATTTAAATGGCCGCATTGACTCCGACGATGATAACTGATAACTCACAATAGTGTATAATATTAATTAGACATGTTTAATAATCATAATGATAATAATACGAGTAATATGTGACCTAGTTTTATGTAATTACCAATTGAAATATTATGCTTCTCGGTGTCTAATAATAAAAAAACTATTATACTATTTATATTAATTAGTTATAGTAAGAATAAGTTAATAATCGATGTTTTTAACCGTAAATATATTAATTTTTCACATTTAATTTTATAATTATTTCTTCTATACGTTTATTACCAAAATATATTGTCATTTATTTTTAGTTTATTAATAAAAAAATCTTTGTCAAATTAGTCAGGCGTGTACAATCCTGATGTTTCTTTAAGTTTCTTAATATTTGTTGAAGAACATTGATTGTAACATACACAAAGTAAATATTGTCGAGAGGTCATATACAAGTTCTTACATGAGCTTAGCTTTCACAAGAAGTGCCTACGAATTGAATATAATCTGTATTATTACTGTGTAATGCGGTTAGAGGACTACACCCACGACTCTCCGCCTTCTAGGGCTAAATTAATGGACCCTAGCCGGGACAGGAAACTACCCTAAATTACCTATCCCTAGAGATTCTTTATACATTTATATAACCGCCCGAAGAGCAAAAGTGCCGGTCGTATCTTCAAGATAATTAACTAAACTCTCAAATTGCAACGTACAATATTATTTAATAAAAAGGCTTAACGCCGAGTAAGAATTAAATTGATGAAAAACATATTAAAATGACTAAAAACAATACGTATAAATATAAAACTGAATGGAAATCCCACATTGTTTTATAATTTGAATAATGCTACCATAAAAATATATTGGTGATCAGTTGAAAATGTATAATACCACAACTATATTTATCATAAGGAGATAATTTACATTTATTAGTTAACATCGGAATATAATTACTAAATATATATATTTTTATAAATTGGCAAAAGCTAAAATATAAAATATGTTAAATAATTGAAGAAATTTAATAAATTATGATAATGTCATTATGATAAAAAATTCCATGCCACCAATAGAAAATATTAATGTATTATAGTGCTATAATTAATTACTCTTAGATTTCAGAACAAAAGCTACTTAAAATTATTAAGTCGAAGGTGAAATTCCGGATACGCCACAAAAGTTAACTAACAAAATGTCATGGAATAATTCCTGACAGAGCCACAAAAAAATGAAAGGCCAAACGAATAGTTTTCCGGACAGAGCCACACAAATAAAACGTCAATCTGGCGTGCCAGAGACAAAAGTGCCATAGCATAAAAAAATTAAACACTTATCAACTAATTCTAATCATAAGCCTAAAAGGTCTAGTGTACTACCTTATCTCAAAACAGGTTTAGTATCGATTAGGCAAAGGGGAGCGGCCGACTTCCCTCCCTAAATAGATCGAAACCCGATTTGGAGTCTTAACTTTAACAACTATAATTAAGTGGCAAAACGTGGAAGGTGGTAATTGGCGAGTTGCGAATAATAAAAAATAATAAATCGTATTTGTAATAATAGCTCTACTAAGGGTTTTGCTCTACTTCCCATTCCTAAATGAGACACTTCTTATTATTAAATAATTAGTATTTCAATAATAATAACGATTACAATTATTAAACTGTCTGTGATATACTTGTAATTTAACCAAACAATGTTAGTACGCTATGCACCTAAACTCCAAAATCATAATTATAACAATATCTGTGACTAAAGAAACAGTCATGGTATCTAAATGATACAGCACAGGAAAATTCTGTCCCAGACATGGATAAAGAAATGTTATCATGACAATAATATTTTATCATTATTTATAAGTTTCTGAAATCTCAGAGTACCTTAATATAGCATTATAATACTCTAGTGAGATAGCGCAGACCATGTCTGCGTGTGCTAGTGACTTATTTCTGTTTACCAATGAGTTAAAAAATATTATGTTATTTAGTTATAGGAATAACCGAATGATTTTAATAATAATCAAATGATAAGTATTCGATGTAAAAGATAAGAATAATCGAATAAATTCGATTGTTAAACAAAAAAACTATAACAGTAATCACTATACATTATCTTGTTGGAAAAATTAAATCCACCTACATGGTCTGGATGGCCATGGAATAAATAACGTTGGAACTTGTAAACCGTATGATAATTCATGGAAACGTGTCAAACAAATTACATCCTAAAAATGTAGATTATGTTATTTTTTTTACATAGTAATTCCGATTTAATGAATTAAGTTTATTTTAACATCAATCTGTTGTTATATTTCTTATTATACTGCTGATACTATTTTAATAACATACTTAAATATATATCTACCTACGTATAGAAATACAGATTATACATTTGTTTGTTATTGGTAGTTTTAGATCTATAAATTATGCGTAACTCGATCTTTAATATTACACATAATAAATTATACCTCTATTATTTTTACGTTCAATAAGAATTGTTTTATTCACATGAAAGATTCACCACTTATTATAAGGCTATTCAACAAATAATAATAAATTAATCAGTCCAACAGTGTGTTCGCAAATATCATGTAAAATACAATATGTTTTGAGTTATAAAAAAACACGTTATTATCATCATGGTAATGTCAGGTCATCTTTTAAGTTTTTATTGTATCGCAACGAACAATTTCTTAAAATTAAACATTTTAGCCCACGGAAAGCTTGAATGAACAATATTTATAAAATAAAAGACAATTTAGATAATTTATATACTAATATCAGTTCAACAAACATAAGAACACAAATGTTTACAGCATTTTCAATGAAATAGTAGAAAACAATTTCAAATACATTTCTACAAATCATTAGGAACTTAAAATTTTACAATTAAATAGAAATTTACTGATGTACATTAAGAGTTTATTATAAAAAAAAGACAGAATTTTGTAATAGGTTTTCTACAATAATTATGCATCACACTAACAAAAAATCCAAACATAAATCGCGAAATGCATTTGTATTCGGTTTTATTTAGTATTTCTTCCAATCACTTACAAGTTCATTATTTGTATGGTTTAAACTACGTGTACAACTAAATTAATTACATTTGACCTCAGATAATAATAACAATTAAGTACAGATTACACATATAGATGTTATTTTATATTGTAATATAATGTCTGAAAAAATTCAAATTTATCCCTAAAATTAAAAAGTTGCATTTTAAGTGGAAAATGTAATTTTAGAAAAACCTAAACAATTCAGCTATTTTCAAATTGAATAAAACATTTGAATCGAAAAAATGTATGTTTCTTTAAAATGATAGAGTAAAGGACCAGACGTCAGGCTACAATATTCCTCTAGCAGACTTAATGGGCATGGCTGAATACACCGTTTTTGGTTGATGATTTTATAAATTTGTAATATATATATATATATAGAATAGATTAATTCCAAAACAGCCTAGTTTCTGTTATCAGTTGTACAGCTATAGTGCCGCCGCAGTTATCAACAACGCTGGGGTTTACAGTAATGTTATATATATTTTAAAAAATCTGTATCCTATGTAAAATTGTAAGGTCTTTAATTTTTATAATTGGTCATTTTTACGTATGACCAATAGTTTTAGCAAAAACAAAAATGTTTAATTAAAGCCAACTGACAACACCGGACACGTCTGGATATATGTTATTATTATTAGTCGTCTAACTTCTAGACTATTCTTTTCAAATTGAAATTTAAAAAATTACAGACACATAGATAGACTTACACTACACTTAATCAGCATATTTTGGTAATGCACAGTAAAAATATACATTGTACTCAATTAATAGGCACATTTTGTGAATGCTAAACTCATTAAATAACGTATAGTATGACCTTTAGACAACCTTTACTTTGGCAATGTCGCAATCATTGTTCTACAACAATATTAAGAAACTTGAAGAAACATCAGGATTGTACATAACTAATTTTAAAGAGTTTTTTTAATAGTATGAAGCAAAAATATACATACATATTGGTAATAAATGTATAGAAGAAAAAATTATAAAATTAAATGTGAAAAGTTAATGTATTTACGGTTAAAAACATAGATTATTAACTTATTCTTACTATTACTAATTTATAGAAATAATATAATAGTTTTATTAGAGGAGTATAATATTTCAACAATAATTATAAAATGAATGTGTTTTAATGGATTTACGGTTTAAAACATCGATTATTAGCTAATTTCTACTATAACTAAATAATATAATAGTTTTATTATTATTAGACACCATAATATTTCAATTGATAATTACATCGAACTTGGTCAAATAATACTCGTATTATTATCATTATGATTATTAAACATGTCCAATTAATAATATTATAAACTATTGTAAATTTTCAGTTTGCATCGTCGGGTTCAATGAGCTCTTCTAAATCCATCATGAACAACATAAGTTCAGTATACTCCGCGACGTTTATGGTTTTATTACCTAAAAAAAATAAAATTAATTTTTTTTGCTAGGCGATGACCGACAACCGTCTATAATAACATTAAAACACTGTTTAAATTAACTTTACCTTTGAATATAACATTTATATAATGTTGCGCTCTTTCTATAGCTTCTGGCGACTCTTTTATTGACACCAAAGCATCTTCGAAATCGCCCTTTAGGTCTTCCATATACTCGTCCGAAGATAGGAGACCGTCTTTGTTTATGTCCAAAACATTGAAATATTGAACAACAGATACGACCTCGCTTACTCTTAATGCTCTTCTTTCCTAAACAATTGGTAACGGAGATAGTAAAACAAACATAACAACGTTGAACTTAAAAATTAAGAAAAAAAAATTATGAATGAAATTACATTTTTCGGAACGGTCATATTGCGTTCTGCCGCAACGATGATTAAATCCTTCAACAATATTTCAGCGGTTCCTGTGTGAGTTTTAATAATTAGTAGTTCTCCAATTACTTATCATACCAAGTACAATATAAAAATAGTTCTTACGTTCGGATTTAAATCGTTTTTCCAAAACGTCATCTATTTGTATACCAAGCTCTTGGAACACTCCTCTACTTGCTGCAGCATTTATGCCATCTGATGTCTTGTGTGCATCATATAAATCAATAAACATTTTTATTTGTGCTAGGGTAAGACCAAGGCCCTACAATGTATGAAAAAAATATTAATTTAAGCATTGTCCCAAAAATCGATAATAGTCTATTCACATTTTTTTATAATTAAATAAAAATAAACTGAATTAAATCTAAAATATGGAAAATTCAAACTGTCTAGCATGAATTTGATGATAGAAATAGTTATGTTTGAGTAGTTTATATATTTTTACGGAGGGAATTTTCGTACTAGCTCGGTTTTTTGTACACTTTTCAAAATTAGATTCCACAAAACATTATTGAACTATTCATATTATAAATTCACTTAAAACATCACAATAGGTATTTGAATTGTTCAATGGTTAAATGCAATAAATGTTTTGATAGAAAACATTGTAGTGTTTATAAAAAAAGTATTTCTACTTAGATATTTCGAAAAAAAATGCCTAAACTTAACTCCTTAAAAAGTATGTGGTTTGACCCCACGTCGCCTATTTTTAAGGAGTAAATTATAGACAATGTTTTGCAAATTCGCAATTTTAATGTTTAACTGCGATGTGCATTTATTTGTTCAGTAATTATGGTTTTTATTGGTAGTTAATTAATTTTTCTACCACAACATCTTTGGCAGCGATTTAAAAAAAATGTCATCTTAATAGAGCTACGCACATTCACTATTAACTAATAATCGTAGACAATTATTTTTTATACATTTAAAATAATGAGAATTTTCTCTAACTTCTCTAGTCGTTTTTTTATTGAATTATCAACCTAACATTCAAAGCCAATATTTATTTCCAGACATTTTTTTTTTTTAGTGCTTTTATTCACGGTAAAATTTAGGTTTTTAATAAAATCCATGCGAAAATTTAGTTCTTCTGTTTTTAACAGTATAACAATTTGCTTCTATTAACATTTCGCTCTGACCTACACACTTTTTCATAAACACGTTTAAACGATTATTTTTTAACAATATAACGTACTCTTAACGAAAAATTAAAATAACAGAAGAGATACTTGTTAAAATCATAGAAAAACAGAACATTGGTAAATAGCGTTATTAATAATCAAAACTGATAAATTGAAATTAATACAATTTAAAAAAAATTGAATCATTTCATTTTTTTAGTTTTGAATATTAAATAATTTTGTTTTGCATTTGTTATTTACATTTAGACCAAGTTCTTTTAATATATTACAAATAATTTCAAAAGAAATAAAAATCATAGGAGCTGTTTGTATGTTTTTGTTAAATCCTTATTTAAAGTTGGTCTTTATAGAAAATTTATATTTAATGTATATAAAGAATTTAATTTCTTTCTTTATTAAAATTTTGCTGGCGTATTGCGCTTACTTTTGGTTTGATTTCTATTATAGTCAACAAGAAATCCGCCGCGTTCATTACATAGTCCTCTAAAATTGAATAAAAAATAAAAAATATTGTACATCATGTTTACCACTACCTCGCCTTATCTGTATTACTTTTGTTTTCGATTTCAAGTTGTTTTTTTCTTTCGTTTAACGCATCATTTACAGTTTTCCAATTAACGAAAACTTGTGATAGTTGTTGAAGATTAAGATATCCATCTTGTTTATAAAATTCAAAGCGTTTCTCAAATTCGTCTAGGTAAAATTGTACTTCCGAAAGAGTGAGTTTTTTGACCTGAAAACCATTTAATAATACAGAGTGATTGCTTATAACAGCAATGACCAATGACCTGACCATAACATTATCTTGAAAAAATATCTTAGTTTACAGAGTGTTTCGTTAAAGATGAGACGTTAGTTTTCTCTAAAAAAAAAACACACTACAAAATCGGAATTTTTTTAAGAGTAAAAAATTATCTCATCCTTAAAAAGTCATCCTGTATAGTAAAACCGTATACAAATTTTGAATTCATATGATTGGGGTTATATTTTTTAAAAATATATAAAATTATAGCTATTTTATAAGTACAATAATAGTATGAAAAAGAATAATTTTAAAAAAAGGCACAGGGAACCAACACATATAAAATCACAATTTAGATATTTGCTAATAGTTGGTATATATTAATTGTATAGTTTATACTAGTTAATTTGAAACTTTAATACCTGGATTTGGTCAGTATGTTTGATTTCATTGAAGGCCATCATCCTCAATAAATTAAATAAATGCATAGAATCGGACTCATCTGTATACAAATTGTTTAGTTGTTCATTAATTCATTCATTTTATAATTAAATCAGATGTAATGATAGATTTTGACTGACACACCATAAGCTTCCAAACCAAACCTTCCAAGTCTAATACGTCGGATAGCACCTTGAGATGGTCGTGCATTATAAATTTAATATATCTTTTGATACTATATATATATATATATATATATATATATATATATAAATATATATATACAGGGTGTTTCATTAAGGACAAGACACTCATTTTCTCGGAATACATAAATATTTTGAACAATATTTTTTTCCAAGATTTTTTGGTACACAATGTACTACATTTTTCATTATTTTAAAAATTGATATCACTATCCTTGAAGGCCAAAAAGGGGATTTTAATTTTTTTTTTAAAAGGCAACATATGTTTTTAATTACATACATTTGTAGACAAAAAATAAAAAAATATTTTAGCGTTTGAATTTTGAATTTTTATTTATTTGTTCATTTGTTATGACTTTATAAAGATTCGATTTTTTGACTGTATTTCTTAGAGTTTTATTAGACGCATAAAAATAATTTTATAAAGTGGGTTTGTAAAACCAACCTGTGTACCTGCGTAATAGGTGGTAATCTGTAGATAAGAATCGTTTTTCTATCATTATTTCAAAGTCTTTTATACCAGTGACTTTTTTTTGTTAGAGTGTTATCGCTAAATTGACAATGTGAACATAAAAATGAACTTATTGTGCTACCGGTTTTGGAAAACCGAAAAAACATGATAAATATTAAGAGAAAATGTAGTATCTTAACAAAGTCATAGCTGAAAATTCAAAATTCAAACGCTAAAATATTTTTTTTATTTTTGTTTACAAATTTATGTAATTAAAAACATATGTTGCCATTTAAAAAAAACTAAAATCCCCCTTTTTGGCCTTTAAGGATTGGTGATAACAATTTTTTTAATATTGTAAAATATAGTTCAATGTGTAACGACAAATCTTGAAAAAAAATCTTTTTTAAAATATTAACATGTTCTGAGAAAATTAGTGTCTTATCCATAATGAATCACCCTATATATATGCGACAGCACTCGCATTCTCCTTCTATAATTAATTTAAAGGTACGATCGACATTTTGCTCTTCAGCGGTTGTACACATTTATAATGAAGGAGTCTCTAAGGATATTTTGAGGGTAGATATAGTGTAGCTTCCTATCATGGCAGTGACCTATATTAGACCTAGACGGCGGTTAGTCGTAGGTGTGATCCAATCAATGCACTGCATCGTAACACAGTTTAATAGTTTTCAAGGGAGAGTGGGAGTTTCCAAAATTTCCAAAATTTCCAAAATTGTACTTATAGTCAGAGCTATAATATAATATAATATTTCAACTACTCTAATAGATAGTTAAACGACTCATTTTTTTCAATTATCACGCTATATATCGGTTGATTTTTAACGACCTTTATCAACTTTTGAAACATAAATGGTAACGTATATATTTTGTTAATTAATGATTAAGAAATGATTTAGAAATAAATATTCATCATAAATACGTTCAGGTTTTGACATAGATATGTCTTTAGGCTGGGGGTCAATAAGAAAATCGGCATCACACTGAACGTTACCGAGGGAAATTTGTGCGTGTGGCGTGATATAGCAGTTGTAAGTGATTATATATGAGAAATAAGAGATTAGGTACTTCTAATTAGGTACTCCAAACAAGGTACTTCTAAATAGCTACACCTAATTATGTACTCTAAATTAATAACTCTTAATTAGGTTTAACCATAACAATTGCCCAACAGATAGGTAATATAATTGTTTAGCAACATGTTACCTAAATAGAATCCAAACTCAGAGTCAGGATCTTCCCATTCCATTCCAAAAATATTTTCCACAACTGGTCTGATTGTCTCTTCCTTGACTCCATTTCTAGTTGTTTTGTAAGGTTTATACAGGTTTTGCAACGTTTCTAATTGATAACTGTTCAGTCCGGTGCTCTGAAATAAAGTATGACGGTTAACAATTGTATTGGTAAGCGTACAGAATGGACTTATTGCCGATGACGTAGCAGATTTACACTCATTTGTACTGTATCACACATAATCGGTATGTATTTAATTTAAACATGCAACATGCTTAAGCATTAACGCCCAGCTCGAAAACGACAGAAAATAGCGTCACATTTTCAGTGTATAAAATGTCTTGAGGCAAGTCTTTTTAGATCTGGACAGTTATTTAAAATAATAATTATATTCAGTGCATCAAATGCCTAAATTATAAACTTATAATTTATAAACTTATTGTTTACTTATTAACAGCTATATTTTATGTAATTGATAAATTTATATGCATTCAAAATTTTTTAAGTTAGCCATGAAATGTACAAATCCATATATTGATACATTTTTTTAAAATGGTTAACCAAATATTCATCGTTATAAATGAAAAATAATTTTACTACGAGCTCAATAAAATTAATGGTTAAATTTTTCCAAAATAACTAACCAGGTGGATGTTGCCAATAAACTGATTAAAGCGTATATTAAAAAACTTTTAAAAACATTTGGCTACAACATAAAATTTAGACTATTCTATTCATCATAATATATATAATATATAGTAAGGAGATTATAGATCTGAAAATAATCATTATTCAAGAGCCAGCAGGCTAAAACATGTACCATGTTTTATAATTTTAGCCGTTAGGCTTAGAATAGACTGTAACATTTTTGACTTCATACTTTCCGAGTTGAAAAAAATATATAAATACAGTGTCATGATCTTACCCATGCTGACGTGAGAAAATACAGCGCGCAGAAAACCAGGGCGCACTTGAAATGCATAATTTTGAGTTATATTTAAAACGATGATGAAAATTCAATTGAGTACTTGTAATAATGTAGGACTAAGACTGTTGGCACCGAAGTCGACCGTCGAATAAACTCTGAAGTAAGTATTTTCTACGTTTCTGTTCGGTGGTGTTGTCTACGGTTATTCGCTAGATAAATACAAAACCGTGGTTCTGAAAAAAATGTTCAGCACTTATGTTTACAAAGATGTGTTGTTATTTTTTTTACCGTAGGCGAGTACTTTTTTTTTACAATAACATATTTTTCTTTTTCACCCGTGTCGATAACAGTCAACAGGGATAGGAAAAACAATTTTTTATTTTACATTGGCAAGTGATTATGTGAAATATCTATGGTTTTGTTATATTTCTTTACAAAATAATTCACGAGATAATCGTTCCGATTACCTGATATGGCCCACTCTATTTGAAAAACGACAAACAAGATAAAAACGATATTCATATGGTCCACCACTATACCTAATTAAGATAATAAGATTAAATAAGATTGTGATAATAGAATTTTAAAAGATAGTTAAAAGGGGGTTTATATAAGCTGATGGATGGATGTGATGGGTGTGTCCTTAGCTACCCTGATTTTTTTTAACTATACTATTTATGTAATACGTTAATTCCTCAAATAGGCTTTCGTTATAGACACTTTACTTAATTACTATAATAACTAACACAAATTATCCAACAGTATCCGATGTGCTCCGAGTTGCCTTTATGGCTTTCCGTGAAGACACCACACAATGGCGCGTATTGAACTAGTAAAGAAAACCAGACTTCAATTTATCTTAACTGTCTGACAGTACCGAGTACGCTCAACGTAAACGCTAAGTTTCCAAGGGCTGCGTCCAGTGTTTGTAGGTGGAGCTACAGGAGGTAATCGTGTACAGTGCGACAGTGGTCTGAAATCTAAAGAACGCGATCGAAAATAATATATCCTAAATTTATGATTTAAAAACATTAAAGAAGGTCAAATTATATGTTCAAGGGGTCGCTAAATTCAAATTGGAAATCATTCCTATACTTAAGATTTTTTTTTTTTAATTTAGAAAATTTTAAAGTTCCACATCAAATTATATGTTTATGTGGTCACTGAATTCAAATTTACCTTAGATTTACAATAAAATATTTAGGTAATTATGTATTATTATTTTATATATTTAACTGTAGGTACACACGTTTACATTTTATACTATATAACACTATGTAGTTTATATTTACTGTATATCTAAGTTTAAATTTGAACTTAGCGACCTCAAAAACTTATAAATCAATATGTATTAGATAATTGTACACAATTACGAAAAATCTCCTAAATAAGGTGCGTATGGTATACTTGATGTCAAATTTGAACTCAGCATCCTTGAAAACATATAATTTGAGTGCCTTCTTACTATTTTAAAACAAAAACCAACTTGTATCACAATTTATCGTTTTATTTCGACTTTAGACCAGGTACTTAATTAGTTTTTAAATTAACATATCTTCGTGTTCGGCAAGTTTCGGCAGCTGAAACCTGTTTAATATTGTTAACTTCATAATTTAACATATTTATTATTTTAGTATAGTTTTCATAAGTTCCTCAGAGTTCCTCTGGGCTTATAGGCCTTCAAAAGGCCCTATAATAAGGGTTTTGGTATAATTAGTATGCTCATTTAAAAAAAAAAAAAATGTTTGAAAAAAATATAAGTTTGAATATTTGTAAACATGTTTTTATACTGAAATAATATTTTAAAAAAATTCGGATAGTTTAATTAATGTCCAAGTTAGCCTATTTTATAACAGATAAATAGAAATACTGAAATACTGAAATTTAAATAATAATTAAAGTGATAAAATATATGGAAAAAAAAATCAGTATACATCTGTTTTTGTTTTATTTTGTATAATTTATATTTTACATCTTATAATCGGTGCAAGTATTACTGTGTGTAGATAATCTTATATCTGTTACGTGCCGAGCGTGGATGTGAAGCAAGCGTTAAATTTAAATAATAATAACATACCAAATATAGCTTATATGCCTATAAGCTATATTTTATAGCAGGTGACTTTATACAATTTGTATGGCACAAAAACTAATAATTGTTATTTTGTGTAAATAATATGCAAAAGTAGTGTAGATTTGGCGAAGAAATAAAGAGAAAAAGAAATCTATTTTTGAAATTTATTGATTTAAGACATTCAATTAGTATAGTTCTGGGACAATTGTGATTGCTCCCTAATATGCTCTGAGCTTTAACAAAAAATATATTTATATAAATATATATAAATATTATAAATTACATTTTAATAAGTAAGCGCTGACTTATATTATATTAAATTCATTTTTAAGCTAAGCATATTTGTTTTGAAAAAAAAGTGGGATTAATTGACTTTTTTCCATAAAAGTGGCTAAAAATGTTTACATAAGAGATATAACTTATTCTGTAAGTATTAGAATATAATTATTTTCTCTACACTTATAAAACTAAATTCGGATTACTGACAATTGCCCTATAATTTTAATTACTCAAGTGAAAAATGCATGGACCCAAAATATAGTAATAATCAAAACTGTTTTAATGTTAGAGGCTTCAAATAATATAACTAAGTCGACGATAAAAGATGTTGTTTTTGTTTTCGAATATTTTCTTATTAAGACATAGACTGTAACTATTTGAACATGCTTACAAAACAACAAATCAAAACAAGTAGTCTCCTTATTTTGAATAAATAATACAACTTAAAACGTGTTTTTTATACGTTTTCCCGTTTATGAAAATGAATATACAATTATTTAGAAAAGTAATGATAACGGTTTTAAATTTTGAATATAAAAATAATATAGTAACATTATTCATGGCCGGATGTAGACGTTTTTAGGTGTTCTAAGACCAATTGTAAGAATATGGATGATAATAAAATACAATACAATACAAAAAATATATGTATATGTATGTAAGAAATATATGTATTCATAATAATTTATAATTTTTTTATTATTATATAAATCATAGTATATTATAAATGTATTTACAATTTTCTCATTTCTGTAAAGTCTACCTAAAAGTATACGTGTTGTATACCTTTAGGCAGAATTTACAATTGTGTCTCTATCGAGTATGCTTAATATAAGAAAACTCCAAGGTCTGTTATATACTAACGCATTTATTAGTACGAAAAATCTGAGTACATCTACCTACCATTAAGAGATTTTTTATGTGTATTATTATGACTTATATGTTTTTTCATACCGATACGAGTTTAAGGTAAAAAAAAACGCAAAAAAAAAAAATATTACTAAATGTGTAATGTTTACGCATTTATAACGTACAACAAAAATTCAGAGCATAAAATAAAACCTTACTTAATATGGTTTCGAAACGCAAATTGGGGCCTCAAAGAGCGATCCAATGATCACAGATAAAAATTCAAAAATCGATAAGATAATTGTACCCAATAACAATTATGTGCTCGAAAAAGAATGTTTAGTTTAAGGGTGGATATGATTAGGGTTACATTTGTTACATTTTCTTCTAAATGTATTCACTTTTTGTAATCTCCGGTGGAACCAGTTGACATTGACTACTTAATAAAACATTTCAAATAAACAATTTTTAGTCGTTAGATAAAACTTCTCTTCTATATTGGAATCTATAATGTAAGAGTGACTAAAGCATTAAATGCTCTCAGTTTGTTTGTTGTACATTCACTGATTACATACTTAACATACTACAATACATTTAAATGACAATTACACATAGGGCTTTACAAGGAGTTGAACAAAAGTAAAAAAGAAAGCAGAGTTTAAACATTATGTTATCTTTCTAAATTAGCCACAAATAAAAAATAGGTTTATTTATTATCCACAAATTACAAAGCAATAAATATTTACAAATTGCATTATTTTTTGCAAGCTTTAGAATAACTGTACTCATCGATTAATATGTCATCATACTCTAAACTTTTTCTGATGTGCGATTCAGTATTTAATATAGCGATAAAATAACCCATATATCGTTTTTAACAATATAATGAAATATTTTCATTGCCTATTTACTCACTCACACATAGCAACCTACGGTCAAAGTGTAATTTTTCAATTTTTTTTTTGGGGGGGGGTCCTTAATAAAAAATAAGTTTGATCACAGATTTTTTTGAGAAAATTGTATATGTTATAGTTCCATTCTAGATAATATACCTTAGGTCTAATTTCCCCGACCTAAATCCCTAAAACTTTGTTTCCAAAAGTGAAATAAAGAGCTTTTCTATTGGAAACGGTTTAAATTCCACACAAATTTGGAATTAGTTTGACTCGGTAGTTGTTAAATCTTAAAATTGCGCCAGCCAAATTTTTTAAAACTTTCAGCCTTTTTCCCAGGAGGAGGGAGGGTTGTGGATATTTCGGGGTTTTCATTGTGCGTTTTTGTTGATGAAACTTTTTGTATAGAAAATGCTAAGGTTATAAGAAATCGAAAATATTTTCGAAAAACATACACTTGTGCACACATGAGAATGTTTTAGTCATTATTTTTGCCATCGATAAATTTTTATAGCAGAAAAATACGTTGATCGAACGACAAAAACATTATATAAAATTGTCAATGTTCGATTTTCTTTTTTTTTTTTGTGCACATCTTAGTGTTACTTTTTACTTCGAAAATTCGAAGGTCATAGCAAATCGTCTAAACTTGAAAATGATATCGAATCGGATATACTAAACTTAAGTGTGACTATCGACGGATATTCTCAAAACAAAAATCCATTCCAATTTGGGTCGGCACTCGAGTTGGGCCGAGCTGATTGAATGTGATAAATTCACTTTTTAAAAAATAAATTAAAACCTTAAACTGGTACTTGAGCACTCAAAACTTACTGGGGCTACTCTAAGTAGTATCCATATAAATATTGGAATGATTTGAAATTTTTTTTTTTTTAAGATTTAACATGTTATATTTACATAAGAGTTCTAACTCCAAAAAAATGTTTAACCAAAAGGTACTAAAAACCCAAAAAACAACTTGCATCCCATCGCAAGGGGGTGGGAAATGGATCTATCTTAAATTTAAATCTCAATT